AACATTTTCCGACAGCCCCTTGCACGGTCAAACCAGCAAACAGGAAATAAATAGGTCAGATTCTGTATCTAATTATTATGCTAAATCTGCTTTGCCTGCCTGTCTGGGAACCCGAAGGAAAAACGCTTTGGGTGGGTGAAAGGGGTTACAGCCCCCCCCCCGCCCCCGGTCAGTCGGTCGCTCCCCGATGCTAATCCCTGACCTCAGAGAGAGGCTGGGGAACGGGATCCTCCCCCGGTCAGTCGGTCGCTCCCCGATGCTCATCCCTGACCTCAGAGAGAGGCTGGGAAATGGGATCAGGCTCTGGGAAGGTCTTAAAAACAGGCTGCAAAGTGGGTTTTCGAAGGAGCTGCAGCTTTCTACAGCACAAATCCATCTGCACGCGTAGAAAGCCAAAAGCCTCTACTGTGGGCCAAAGTCTAATTTAATTAATTGGGCAAAAGCTGAATTAATTAAATGTAGGAGGGAAAAATGTTGCTAATTGTTGGGAAGGATAACAGATCGAAACTGGGGGAATCTGCAACGCTCACCAGTCAGAAGCCCTCAGCCTGGGAATTGGGCATCACGCCCTGCCTGGCCCGAATCTGCAGCCACGTCACTTGAGCCCCAGTTAATCGGCTTTTGGTGCCCAGCGGTGGCCCAGAGCAACCCAGCACCCCCCAGCACCCCAGCAGGGGGGTGCCAGATAACACAGGGTGGAGGAGGGAGGCATGGAGATGGATGGGCTGCATGTCTGGAGTGTTAGAGCCACCACCACAGCACAGAAGGGACTGGGCTGAGCTCCCGTGGCAGGATGGGTCCTTCCTAAAGTGGGACCTAGGGGTTGAGCCACCACATCCCATCATCCCCCCTCCACCATGGGGTCCCGGGCAGGGGGTGGCCGGTGGGCTCAGCAGGGTCTCCATTGCATTGGTGCTGCCTGCTCTGCCTGGGGGGCACATCCAGCCCCCACTGCCTCCTGCCTACAGACCCTTTGGGGAAAGAGCCAGCTGTAGGGACAGGGCAGAACCACGGCTGGTGGCACCAGGGACAGGCTGGGTGGGTTAATGGGGGGGGCGAGGGCTCCCCATCTCCCCAGCCCCTCACCTTCTCCTTCCTGCTCTCCACCTCGGGCAGCTGCTTGCGGCACCCCGTCACGCAGCCAAACTGCTCCTCCGCGTTGCTGTAGGCTTCAGCACATGCTGCCAGGCAGGATGGGGGGGGTCGGGGTC